CAAATACCGTTTCGATTCCTAACATCACTGAAGAGACATTAATTGTCGAAATCCGGATATGGTGTACTAAAATTTTTTGGCACCTTTTGTTTGCGATATACCATCTTTTCCGCAAGTTTATTGTTTTCTGTTTGGTATTAAATTATTATAAAGATCCATTTGTTACATCTTGTGATCCGTTTATTTGACAATCGCCAATTGCAGTCAGCAGGATTTAAGAATATTTGTTGTTTGACCTATTAGTCAAATGCGTTTTGTTTAAATATACTTTTTCACTTTTTTGGTCTTTTGGAAAATGTTGTTTGTGCTGTATTTAGACCTCTCTACTAAGAAATTTGTTTGGCATGCACACGTATAAAAATTACGGTTTTTATCCAACGCAATCATAGGTTTGAACGTTGTTTTCAATTTAGACTTGTTTATATTTTTTCGTTTGTGCTTGTATTATATTTGCCTTCGGATTTATATGATCCGTTCATCCTATTTCGACTCTTCAAAATTCAAGAGTCTATCCTAAATTGAGGTAAATTATATGGCCTTCCAAATACCGTTTCGATTCCTAACATCACTGAAGAGACATTAATTGTCGAAATCCGGATATGGTGTACAAATTTTTTGCACCTCATGTTTGCGGTATACCATCTTTTCCGCAAGTTCATTGTTTTCTGTTTGGTATTAAATTACTAATAAAGATCCATTTTGTTACATCTTGTGATCCGTTTATTTGGCAATCGCCAATGGCAGTCAGTAGGGTTTAAGAACATCCGTTGTTCGACCTGTTAGTCAAATGCGATTTGTTTAAATATAATTTTTCACCTTTTTGGTCTTTTGGAAAATGTTATTTGTGTTGTATTTAGACCCCTCTACCAGGAAATTTGTTTTGCATGCAAACGTATAAAAATTGCGGTTTTTATCCAACGCAATCATAGGTTTGAACGTTGTTTTCAATTTAGACTTGTATATTATATTAATCCAATATTGTATTTGCAGAATAGGAAATAAGTGTTTTTGCAGCATTAGCTATTTTTTTTTGTATAAGAATTATTGATATCAAAGTATGTGTAGAGGACGTATTAATTCATATAGGTGTAGCAATAAAGCTTTATCCTCATTGAATATTTGTTCTTGAAATGTGGGCGGCCTTATCAGAGATGGTAAAATAAACTCCATGATAAATCATTCATTGAAGAACTTAAGTCATGTGACATAGCCTTATTAACTGAAACCCATGTCTCAATATTACAAGATGGAAATTCTGAGTACCAGTGGATAAAATTACATAAAAGTTACTTTAGCTTATCCAAAGATATAGTTTTGTGTCTAGAATATATTGCTCAAGCCGCATCCCCTTTCCTCCTAAGAGAAAACATAAATATACTGGAGGATATTGAAAAAGATATTGCTGATAAATATAGTAAAGAGGGAGACATTATCCTTTGCGGGGACCTAAATGCAAGGGTAGGTTCCGAACTAGAATGTATACCATCTGATTCAGTCGCCCATATCCAAGATAATTGTTATTGGTATGATGTTGATGTATAAATCAATATTAGAGTGAGTCAATATTCAATTAGAGACACCAGAGGTAAATATTTAATAGATATGTGTATTGGAAACAAATTACGTATTGTAAGTGAACGAACTCTTGGTGATAGTTCGGGTAAATATACATGTTTAAAGCCAGTAGGCAAGAGTGTTGTAGACTACTTTATTGTGTCTGAAAATTTATTTCAACAAGTATTATATATGTCAGTCACAGATTTTTATCAGATTTTTCATATTGTCATTGTAAAATAACTCTCAAATTATTTGCCTCTTTCCATACAAAGGCTATAATAGACAACCTAAAATAAATACCAAATAGATATAAATGGACTGATCTTGCATCAATAAGTTTTCAGAATACTTTTACTAAGACTTTTGTAAAAAAAAAGGCATTGATGATTTTATGATAAAGAAATTAATTTGAAGATGCTGCACATGAATTGGATAAGATCATACGAAATGCTGCAGACAGTAGCCTAAAAAAGAAAAAGGCAAAACAAAGACAAATGCAAAAAAATAAAAATGGGTCGATGGTGAGCTTGAACATAAAAAAAAAAGTAAATGAAAAAGCCAGACTGATGTCTAAGTATCCAAATGATCCCAAAATAAAAGGATCTTATTTTTCTAGCATTTAACCATTATCTTGATTATACGAAAGCCTATTAGGGTCACAAAAAAAATATTTATCTCGTAATTACGAGATAATTACGAGAAAACTATCGCATAATAACGAGATAATTATCGCGTAATTACGAGAAAACTATCGCGTTATTACGAGATAATAATTTTTTATCTCGTAATTACAACATAATCATCGCGTTATTACGAGAAAACTATCGCGTAATTACGAGTTAAGATTTTTTTTATCTCGTAATTACGAGATAATTATCGCGTAATTACGAAATAACTATCGCATAATTACGAGAAAAATATCTCGTTATTACGAGATAAAATTACATATATATATAGTCGTAAAAAGGTTGTTATAGAAAGTAAAAGATGTATTTATTAATCGATTTGAATGAAATTTAAGCTCTTTTTTTTTTTTATTAATTTTTAAGTTAGATAATTTATGTTATTGGCCACTTTTTAAACATAAAAGATGATTTTAATAATTAATTGCGTAAAAAGGAAGCGAGGAATTAAGTCATATCCGTAAAACACCTCTCAAAAGCCTATATACTAATGCCGAGTGACTACATCATGTGTTTGCTTGTCCAAATCTTCAAGATTTTTTATATGTGCTCATAGACATAAACACATAGTATACCAGAGGCTCAAATGAGCTTGTCACCGGTGTCTGGGTAAAACTATTACTATTGCCAAATAGAAAGTTTGTTTTAAATTGGCACAAAAATATCGGAGAAAGTAAAAAATAACTGCCATTGGTTCCTGTTTAAACTAAGTCCTATCGAAGAGCACCAGGAAAAACAGAATAAAAAGTTGAAAGTAGATCCCCTCATGACCAAGTGCTTTTAGAAAGGTTGCGAGTCTTACAAGCATTTAGGCGGGGGCAAGGATTCGAACTCTTATGTGTACAATAAGAAGAGATATAATAACTATTTTACTCTCTTTCTTGTTAGTTTTAATTATAATATGCCCCCCTCCCCTCCCCTCAACCGAATGTTGTTTTTGTTGTTGGTAAATTTCATTTATCTTTATCGCGAAAATAGTCAACAAAATACGAATTTCGTAAGAAATAAGAAGAAATAAAACAATATTTTAGAAATTTATTAACATGTTGTGGGAGCCTTTGCAGTAACAAAAGAAGCTTTTTGCTTTGTTAAATGTATAAATGCTACAGCGCAAAGAGAACGGGTTATGAAAACTCCTTTATCTTATATTACACTTTTGAATTTGCTTGTTATAGAGGACTTTTACCCAATTTCGCTCTGTATATATGGTTTACAAAAAAAAAAACGAAAAGATTATCAACTTTTGTACCCAAAAGCAAGGATTGTACCTCTTGTTTACATATTTTAAGGCACCAATTCAATATATTAGTAAAATCCAGTTGTTCGAATAAGTGCTAAACGACCCATTTGTAAATAAAAAGTGTCAGAATGGAAGAGGATTTATTATCATTACCAACGAGCAGGAGGGGTGCCTTGATTTTTGTCATTGACTACCTAAATATGACATCGCAAGTTCTTTGCATGTATTATTTGCAATATTTTTGATATAATTCCAATATACCGTTAATGTTTGTATAAAAATAATAATCTCGTAATTACGCTCGTAATAACGCGATAATTATCTCGTTATTACGAGATAAAAAAAACTTCTTATCTCGAAATTACGCGATAGTTTTCTCGTAATTACGCGATAGTTTTCTCGTAATGACGCGATAGTTTTCTGGTAATTACGCGATAATTATCTCATAATTACGCGATAGTTTTCTCGTAATGACGCGATAGTTTTCTCGTAATTACGCGATAATTATCTTGTTATTACGCGATATTTTTCTCGTAATTACGTGATAGTTTTTTCGTAATTACGAGATTTTTCGTAATTACGAGATATTTATCTCGTAATTACGAGATAAATATTTTTTTTGTGACCCCAATAGGCTTTCGTATGATTATGCAAAACTTCGAAAGTACAAATAAATGCAATAGTAGTATACCGCTGTTCAAAAGTCATAAATCGATTAAGCGAAAACAAATCCGGGTTACAAACTAAAACCGAGGGAAACACATCAACCCTCTGATGGGCGTTGTCGACATGTCCCACTGACCAATTGGTTACTCTTTTTTTTCTCTTTTGTTTTACAATAAAAATCAGTAATATTATTTATAAAATTATATAATTTCAAAATTGCGATTAACTAACATGATAAACATTTTAGGTTGCAAGTAAAAAAGTTTTGAAAACATGTGAGACATTCGGGGAGGTGTTTGAAGACCACACTTTTGCGTAACTAGGAATAGCTTTGTACAATTCTAGAGGTTTTGAACCTGATAAGCAGACGTTCAAGTGTACGTGAAATAATAATTTCATGCTGCGATATCAATTTAATTTACACATAACTGTAGATTTGATAATCCAAATATTTCAATAAAAATTTTAATTTCAAACGTGACTCAGATACAAAAAAGTTACGAGTAAATAAAAATATTTATTTACTTGTAACTTTTTTGTATCTGAGTCACGTTTCCGAAAAGGGGTCACCTGAAGGCTGAATATCACCTTGGTCATTTTCGTTCAAATAATTAAAGTAGTTGAAAATTTTCATTAGAAATCATCAAGCTGTAGTCAGTATCAAGACATTTTTGAAAGTTCAACTAGCGTACAGGTGTGATTCAAACTAATTTTGTTTACCTGTCAAATAAAAATGTATACAAATTGTTGTTTTAATAGTATTAAATGCCTCTATCAAATCAAAAACTAGTGAACTAGAAAGTTTATTTTCACATTAAAATCAGTGAAACGTATACTTGTATCAACATATTTACAGTAACTTTTTTCAATAATATTTTTTAAATTGACTTCATAAGACGGAATTTAATTGATAATGGAAATACATACTTTTATCACATTTATACTTCTTGGTAAGTACAATTGTATTTTGTATTTGTACTGTAGGGGGAAATAATATCAGTTAGTAAAATGAAATGCATCCAGCTAAAATGTTTATCTACTTTCTTTCCCTAAAAGTTGTATCTGTCCTTCTGTCATACATACTGTTTGCTTTTATTATTTTTGTCCAAGTGATGAAATTTTATAAATTTTGTTCTTTTTGTTCTGTGTTTTCAATTTTATTCCCTGGAGATAAAAAAAGAAGTCAGTTGCCGCTAAGTTTATTTTTTCCTATACCGTATTCGATTTACATTTATCTTTAAGCCAATGATTATAAAAAATAGAAAATAGACGTAAATGATCTGTTTGAATATGAAATATTATTTCTTTTCTAGTCCGTAACCTTTCCAATAAGTCAATCAAAACACATTGCTTCTTATAATCATGAGAAATTCATTTTATTCAATGATCAGACATGTCAAGATTCTATTGATTACGTATTAGGCTCGGGATATCTATATTTGCCACGGATGCGGATATGTGGACAAATGTCGCACTTAGACAATATTATGTGTTTTAACATTATGCACAACCTCACAATTTCGTCGGCAAAATTACAGGACATGTCTTTTTATATTGCAACCATCTCAAATTTGAACGTGCTGAGATAGCAGTTCCTTTGGTTAACATATTCAAATCTAAGGCAAATAGGAAACCGATGATACTACAGTCTTTTAATTCAAAAAAATAAAGTGCTTGATATTTGATATTTTGATACTCATTTTGTATTAATGATACATAAGCATTTTATCAGTTATGGTACTATGACCAGGTTATTTGTCGGATATAGGTCATATAATACTTTCGGGGGAAACTAGCTGTCTCTTCTATAAAATCTTAGTCGCTGGAAAGTTAAGATTTATTCACATTCATATACATGTATTTCAAATTCAAAAACCAAACTGAATAATAACATAATAAACTGTTAACACAGATATATGTCTCGCCTATTTGTTATTTTGATAATTCAAATGTTGAAATTAAAATAGAAATACTTTAACATGTAAGTTATGCAAATATTTAAAGTCAATGAGCCATGACTGAAGGTTCAGGGCTAAACAATCTCCATGGAAATCAGATGTTCCAATGCTAATACAACTGCATACCAAATACCATTGACTTTTCATAAGTCGTTCCCTTGAAACAAACCTAAACACAAACATTAACTTGAAAACTATGCCAAAGTTTCAAAGTCAATGAACCATAATGAGGAGATAGGGTTATATAATATCCATAGAAATGAAACTTGCAAATGCCAATACATTTGCATACCAAATATCAATGATTTAACATTAGTGGTTCATGTTAAACTGACCTAATCACAAACTAATACATGTAAACTAAGCAAAAGTTTCCAAGTCAAAAGACCGTGACTGAGGGGTAAGAACCAAATATACTCCATTGAAATGAGATGTGCTAATGCTTATACAACTGCATACCAATTATCATTGACCTACCGCTAACAATCCCCCTTAAACTGACCTAATCACAAACTAATACATGAAAACTAAGTAAAAATTTCAAAGTCAATAGACCATGACTGAGGGAGCGTGGCCAAATAATCTCCATGGAAATGAGATATGTCAATGCTTATACAACTGCATTCCAAATATCATTGACCTACCACTAGTGGTTCCCCAGAAACTGACCTAATCACAGACTAATACATGTAAACTAAGCAAAGTTTCAAAGTCGATTGGCCATGACTAAGGGGACGGGGCCAAATAATCTCCATAGTAATGAGATGTGCCAATGCTTATACAACTACATACCAAATATCATTGACCTACCATAGTGGTTCACCATAAACTAGACCTAATCACAAACTAATACATTGTTGACGCCGCCGGAAACAGCATACCTATGTCTCGCTTTTTGACTCCGTCAAGGCGAGACAAAAATGAATACAAAATACAAATTCAAAGTTTGATTGACATGCGGAAGTGAACCAATTAAAATACATTGTTATCAAATAATATACATTCGCGTTTTGCCGAAAGCAAGGATAACGGATCAAAACATGTTTCGTTTCTGGGCGCAGGACGTTTTTTCGCCATTTACACGAAAGGACATTTGCGCTCCAAACACTATGGACATTTGCGCTTTAAATTTTGACACACCCGAACAATATTGATAGGACATTTGCGCTTTTTACCTTTCATTGTTTACCTGTTATCGTAACAAAATTTACCAAAGTCATGGAAAGATGTTCACATATTCTTTGAAAGCTCTTCGAACAAACGAAAAAAAATGAATAAATTATTCAGGTAAATCAGATATAGAACCCCAAAAAAAATATAGTATATGTTTCTTGGTAAACAATGGAGAAAATGAAACTTTTATGGATGGAACATTTAAATTTTGCCATAAATTCTTCATGTAGCTTTATAATTCATGGATTTAAAATTGAAAACTATATCCCCCTAGTATCAATTCTGTTGCATGATAGTCCAAGGAAATGTACCACCACAGTTTATCTAAGTCTGTTTCAGTTTGTGAGGTCGATTTTTAAACAACCTGCTGTACATAATGAATGTTAGAAAGAGTCGTGGTTGTCATAAGGAATTTACTTCCATCCACCCTCTTGAAGTGTTGTCGTTTTCATCTGACATAAGCATGATGGGGAAAGGTTGATTCTTTTAGCTGTATATACATATATAATTGTTTTGTGTTTTTGATATAATGATTTTTTAAACTTTATTAAAATTATGACTCCATATGTTTATGTTGACAAAGCGCAAAACAAAACATTCTTTTTTAAAAAGCGCAAATGTCCTAGAAATGAAAGCGCAAATGTCCTAGAAATGAAAGCGCAAATGTTCATTAAAAAAAGCGCAAATGTCCTATCAAAAAAGCGCAAACGTCTCCCGCCTTTGTTTCTAACGTTTGTCAAGTCGCTTTCTGCAATTATATCACTATGTGTCAAACTATCTTTATTCTTTGTTGCGCAATGTTTGAACATGATGAAAACCCATACTGTAAAGTCGGCTATAAGGGATACCGATATGAAAAACATGTAATAATTCAATTGAGAAAAACAAACGGCATAATTTATTAAAAAAAAACAACTTACGAAAAATTTGTAAAAAAAACATTTTACGAAAAAACACATATGACAGACATGAACCAACAATAACCACTGACTTAAATGTGGCGTGGTTAAACATGTGTGTGAGCGCTCAACCCTCCCCTAACCTTGGTTGTCGTTGGTTAATGTCTGTCATATTTGTTTTTCGTAAATTGTTTTGTTATAAATTATGCCGTTATCTTTTTCGTTTGAAATGTTTCTCATTTCAGTTAGGACCTTTTATGGCCGACTATACGGTATGGGTTTTTCTCATTGTTGAAGGCCGTACGGTTGTCTATAATTGCTTACATCCACTTCATTTGAACTTTGGTAGATAATTATCTCATTAGCATGCATACAACATCTCTTTATTTTTATATTTATTGCTCCATGATTGTTATAAGACTAATAAACTTTCATAATAACTTCACTTTCACTTACATGTATTTATTACGATGAATATTTATTTCTCACCCTATAATTTATATAGTGCAATGTTGTCAATCGAACTAAAATATTGAACCATGATATCTTAACTCGGGATATTTCTTACGTCTTTCGACAACATGTGCTGTATGCGTGATATCCTCAGTTAATTCAATCTATGATGACTTCTAGAAACCCGTTATGCATATTGTTTCTGATTATACTTTTTTTCTTGAGTGATAGTATCTAACCAACAAATGTAACTACTTTAGCTAGCTTCCTGTAGAAACGAGCACATTTTGATTCAACTTTCCAAATTATGTGCCTTGCTCCTTTAAGATAATCCTCCCTCATTTAATCTCGATCAGCGGAATAGCAAAATTATAAAAATTACATAAAAGACAAACAATTAAATTCGGCACATAACTGTAAATAGCTCTACAATAACGATAGAAAAGATAAAAAAAATCCAAGCAAAACAATAACAAACCATACAGTATCAGAGATTGATCAAAGCTACATAAAGTAAGTTATTGTAACCTATTGATAATAAATTATGGTGCCCCAACTCAAATGTTGGTGATATCTGTGGTTCACTTAAAAATAAAATCCAATGTCTTCCATAGTTTTGCTACCTTCGACAATAAATCACCCGATGGAAAAGAAGCTGCGAGGTAAATATAACAAAAACGACAATATGACAGTATATCCAAGAAGCAGGATTCCAACCTTTCTGACGAAAGATTGAAAATCAACTAGTCTCTGATTCCACTCTTGAATTAGCCAAAAGATCACAAAATATTTGAAAAGCACGTGTGAAACATGTCGTATAGAGAAGCCACATTTGAATATCTTAACCCGGAAAACTCGATGTCTGTGTGCTTCAATCTTTTGTTCAAAAAATCTCTAAGTTATTCATACCGAAGTGTTATAGTCTCATAGAGAAAATGTCTTAATTTATAGAATTTCATATTGATTGATTGATGGTTGCTTAACGTCCAGCGCGGCAAATATTTCATGCATGTTCAGGACGAGAAAAATTCATCAAAAAATATAATAGGTAGGTCCTGTAATAGAGGCCGTCCGGGATAAAGATCGGGGAAATTTGGACTGCCACTAGATAATGAGGGTGATATAGCCTAGTAAGATGGCGTTCCGACTTCATGAAATAAAGAAGGAAAATATTGCTCATTAAACTTTTATTTTAGCTGTCCAGCAAGACCAGACAACAAACTACAAAATAAATGCTATTTAACATGATAGCAATAACAATAATTTTAGCATAAGCAATTAAAGGATTACGAAGATTAATTGATGTCATATATAAATAATAATTATTAGTGTCTACTGCAGGTTATGACAAATACATGTAAATTATTTAAGGAATGACTGAAATATTTTTTCTGTCTATGAAGAAATAACATAAAAAAATATGGTGCACACTGAATAACCCGCGTATTAAAGTCATTTCTTATAATTTAATTCTAAAAAGGAGTAAATCATGATAAAAACGTTGATGACGTCGCGGTCACATGACAAAATTATGTCTATGAGCTGATAGACAAAACACTTTCAGCCAATCAGAAGACGTGTTACATCCAAAATTAAATTATTGTTCAATACTTCACAGAGGATAAATAAATAGAGAAATCAAGTCCTTCGTCCAAGCTCATGACAATTAATCCTTGTAGAACACTCATGGCTAAATTTATGACAAAGTCCAGAATAATAGAATATGAAACGAAAAGTATGTATAAATGAAAATAGAATTAAATATTTGAAATAACAAAGTTTTGATACAAAACGAATTGCCTTTCAACAAGCCACCTACGGACCCCTCAAAGTGTTGTTGCAAGGGTTCTTCACGTGCAAATACCGTGACATTGTTTCTACACGAGACATCAGATTTAACGTCCGCAATCTGACCGGACGTGGCTGCGTACTTGTACATCCCGCAAAGCAAAACGGGCGACCTACTTTGGCAATATTTTTACTGCTGATCGAAAGAAGACCAAGAATGACCATATTTCTTTTCCCCAGTCACCCTTGGAGGTTCTTTCATATTGAATCACGCGTTGAAAATCTACCATCAAGAATAAATAAAGGCAACAGTAGTATAGCGTTGTTAAATAATCATAATTCGATCAAGCAAAAACAAATCCGGGTTACAAACTAAAACAGAGGGAAACACATCAACTATATGAGGAAAACAACGGAACAACAGAAACACTGAACTACAACAAGGCAAACGCCAACATATATAGAAACGGGCTGTAGATAACAACTGCCATATTCCTGACTTGGTACAGGATATTTTAAGAAAAAATGGTGGGTTGAACCTGGTTTTATGGCTAGCCAAACCTCCCGCTTATATGGCAATGTTAAAAATACCGCTAAAATGACAACACTTCGTGACAGGAATACAGAACAAACAAACGCAAGAACACTCAGCACAGAGAAATACATAAATAAATAATATAATAGTACATTACAACATGTTAACCGTAGAATAACGAACACATCCCATGAATTTACGATAGCACACCAGGACACCACAAACGAAATATAAACTGCACGAAACTGAATGGATCAACGTCACAAAAAGTGACGTATTTTTTGTGACATTTATATTATCACAGGTAAACTAAAAATAAAGTAGATTTGTTTTATTAATAGACACGTACAAGAATGTTAAATTTGGATTGAGTTTGTAATGGTGTTATTTTATGTATTTTCTAACCATGACAATAATATCAAAATGAAATTGTGTTTGTAATTGTGATATTATTTGTATTTTCTAACCATATCGGTTTTTCTTCTAATTCCAAACCGTGTATAAACAAAACAATCCTGTGCATATAGTTGCTTCAAACTTAAAAAAAAAATCATATAAATGAAGCAGCTAATTTTTTATCTGAACTTTTACATACATATAGAAAATAAAAAATGAAATAACTGTAATATAAGGCAAGAACATTTAAGACCAAACAGTAAACGCACATGACAAACAACATAAAATAAAAACTCTGTAGACAAACCACGAGTAACTCGACTATACTGACAAATAAGACATATGTGAAATGTACTGAAAATACAGAATTAAAACCTCAAACGAAATAAACGGACAACAGCTCGGCACAAAATGACCCACCGGACCCACACGTATAAGAAAGTAACAATAAAATGTCCGAAAGCGGGATATATAAATACCGAACGTGACCACGTCGTCTCCATCAGCGAACATAAGACGTAATAAAATAGCTTAACTGGACAAAAGAAACATCATAACTAATTACATGAATATTGGATATATAAATACCGAGACACGTCGTATAGCAATGCGAATTCACACTCGGCAAAACAGTCATAATCGGGAATAGGTCACGTTCGGTACTAAGCAGATCAGACGACGTAGATGGTAAACCATAATCTAAGACGTGGTAAAAAATACTTTCCATTATCTGAAACAAATGAAACCCATGATACATATAATGAATTAATTACAGGTGTTGTACAGACTGCAATTGCTACGCCACCAAGTTATAGTATAGAACTGGAAGAGAGTCTGAGGACCGAGTTGTTTAAGAGCTATACAGCGCAACAAAGACCAAGCCAAAAAGTTCGAGTTGCCATTAGATTCAATCTTTTAACAGTTAACGACTTGGTATGTCATTTTTAACTGTACATGAAACTAGACCCCGAGGACTGTGCATTTGAATATCGAAAAAATGACATATGCAATCTTTATACGTTCTGTGATAAAGCAAATGAAAATTCAGGGTAATAGAAGCAAAATGTACAGATTACATGTTGCATAGTCTTTAGTTTTCTATGTTGTGTCATCTGTACTATTATTTGTCTATTTGTCCTTTTATTTTTGGCCATGGCGTTGTCAGTTTGTTTTCGATCTATGAGTTTGACTGTCCCTCTGGTATCTTTCGTCCCTCTTTTACACATAGATATCGCCAAAAAGTTCAGCAATTTTTACTTTACATTTTTATGTCTCGAAATCCTGTACTACGAATTATCTTCAAAAGTGCGATTGTGTTGCTTCTGTAATGTCAGTCAGGGTGTGATTGAAAGGAGAACATTGAATTCATTTTACATATATACTTAAATTAAATATTTAAATATCAAAAACGAATTCAGTGACCCTCTATAAATTCCAATCAATGAAACGGAAATTTGTTTGGAAATAAATCATTTTCGATGATTTGTAGGACACGTTTTTGAGTAAAGGTAAACTAAAGTTAAGTAATTCCTAATTTTGTTTGCGATATTTACATGCAACCGATACATCTGTACTTCCTTCAGAATATTTAATTTGCTTTATCTCCCGAAAGGAAAAAAGCTACTTATATATTTTTTCGATATTCATATGCAGTTCTATCTGCTCTATTTGCTTGCAAAATTTTGTAAAAACAAGTGAGATCGTCCATTTACGTACCTGTTATCTCCAGTAAATAAAATAAATGTTTAGTTGGGTATATCAGTTGCGGATCCAGGGAAATGTCATCCAAAACACTGAATGAGATCAACACAAGGATTGTGTTAACACATATACAATTATTTTCAAATCTTCAAAAAATTCTTGATTGTAAATGTTTGCCTCCCTAGAGGAAGTGTTGTACAGAGATCGAAACAAACATTACTGCATAAAGAATAAAAAAATGACGAAACACACTAAGGTGCTTATATTTATTAAATACAATGATAAAATGGAAGATTCAGCCAGGGAACTGTACATTTTAGAAGATAAGAGGCAGAATAAATGATATTTCTTGTAGGGAATTTGAACAGGTTTTAGTGCATCCTAACTTTTTTCTTTCCTTAGAATGAACATTGTAGATCATTTATTTTATTGGAGAATTTGTTAACCACAGGCAAATGTGAGCTTTAAAAGCATTTTCAATCCACCATTTTCGTCAGAAATGTCTGTACCAAGTCAGGAATATGACAGTTGTTTTCCATCAGTTCCGTTGGTTGATATAGTCTAGCGTTTGATTTTATAGATTTCCCTCTTTTGAAGTTACCTTGGAGTTCGGTGTTTTGTTATTCCTTTTTTATCCTTGATTTCAGAATATAAAAGACCAGACTTTGACATTATCTGGATACTTGACCATAGTAAGTCTAAACTTTTATACTATTATTAGTGCTAGTCCTGCTAGTCCAAAGGCTCCCAACATACAATATTTTATCATTTGAATTATTATAATAAATACTGAGGATGCTGGCAATGCTACAAATTTATAGAATGTAGAGATATGCATTATTGGACAGGAGGCGGAACAGCCATTGAATATTGAGTATGAATAAAAGTATATGATGGTTAAAGTCAATGAAACAGTAACCCAACGATACGTACGACCAAAAAACGTCTAGAGGTCATTATGCTGTATTCAACAATAGAGAATAGATACGAAATTCATTGTAATTGCACGTCTGGGAGAGAGCGAGAACAAAATATAATGTTCGTTCAGTATATATGTTAGTTCGTTTAAGAATTTTACCTAATATCTTTACAAAACAATAGAGAAATATTCATTAAAACATTAATATCCAATGGTTTTCCAGCATAAACAGCATAAACAAATAACAATTTCCGCATTTATTTTATTATGGGAACATTTAAATGGACTCGCTTAACAAGAAAATATGAAATATGTCTCATAGTTCCAATCAGACACTGTTGCAACACATTACAATATGTTTCTTAACTTAGGATTGGTCAGATACCAGATTAACATGGGAGAACATAACCAATACGTCACAAGATTATACAAGCATCAATTTTCTATTTGCCACGGAAGAGTATGTTTGGAGACCAGCAATTATTATAGAGAATGCGTAAGTTATTTAATTTACTACCGCATATGTAGTTATCCAGGAATTTGATTTTCTTAAATTTTGTAAATTCATTTCTTATTGTCATTCCATCTTCTTCAGAGGTAGTTTCTAATGGTCAATTATAAAACAAATCATGTACAGGTTTATTTTAAGTGTCAATATTTTTTTTAACGGCATGACTTTTTATGATTTAACGTAGGGTTGATGGGATATCTGTTATCAGCGATGAATCAGTGCCAATGAGGATAGCACAAAATGGTAGAGTTATATGGAACCCAGCTGGAATATACAAAATTAATTGTGAGTCTGATACCAAATATTATCCTATGGACACACAAGGATGCTATTTGAAAGTCAGTGCTTGGGCATATACGCAAGCTGAAATAGAACTGTATTTCAAGGTACAACCTGTCGATACAAGCTTTTATGCTGAAAATGGAGAATGGAATTTACTCTCTGCAGAAAGTTTTAAAGCTGAAGCGCAAACTCGAGATGGGGATTCTTTCTCTTCAGTGTTTTTCTTGATAAAACTTCAACGACGTCTTCTGTTTCATGTTGTTAACACTTTGTTTCCAGTAGCTTTGATGGCTATTCTGATAGCGTTTGTGTTCAAACTGCCAGTTGATTCCGGTGAAAAGATTGGATTTTCATTAACAGTTCTCTTATCTTATGCAGTTTATCTTACTCTTATCTCGGACAATATACCCAGTACATCTGTAACTGTCTGCTTTTTATGTAAGTAAACCAATATTTTATGTAATACTAGTAATAGCTTTCCAAAACTTTTATCAGATATTTACTGAAAGAAAATACGTTTATCTGGATAATTTACGAGGTCTACTACGTATTACGGTTACATTAGCAAAATGATCTGCTGAACATTTCACACAAACCTTATAAATTATGAACAAGGTTACAGCAATATCTATTCATAAAATATGTGTATGTGGGACTATGACCGAAGTCCAGTCTCTTATGACGTCCGTTCCTCAAATCGGACTCCAATCTGAACTCATAAAAAGGTGAGATCCCAAATCCACGGCCAATCCTGAACCCCTCTAATCAAAGTGTCCCTTTTCGCTTTCTCAAATTGGAGTTAAATTCCCAGATTCTCTAATCGACGACGCTTTTCTTGACGTATTGAAATGGCGTCTTGGATACAAATAACATTTTTCAGAAATTTTGAAATAAAATATGAGAAGATAGCTATTACAACGCGCTTTCAGAAAATAGAAAAAGAAACATTGGTGTTACCGTACTCGTTTTTATGCTACAAATCAAAAGTGGAAATTTACTGTACTGTATAAAATTAGACTATATGAGATTTATCCCAGTTAATAACAGTCGAATAATAAGATAATCCCCCCACCATTTATATGTAAAAATATTACAAATGAATTGCTTTCCTGTCTCAAAATTTGCTTATTTCATTAAAGTCTAGATCCGATAGTTTTCTGATAGTTTACATTACAAGATGGCGAAATATCCCCGATCTACCTTAAATGTCATTAAAAAAACGAACACTAAGTAACATTTGGAACTTGACCGATACCAGTTGATATCTCGCGACTTAAAAAAGTCATTAGAGACAAGCTACGTATAATTTTATTATCAAGATTTATACACCTCTGTCTTACGATTTCAACAACCAGTTAATACAATTAACGATATCAATTGTGCATTTTTGCTTAGTTTTGGGGATTGAATAAAATGAAAATAATTGAGCTTATCGGATTTTTTACTATGGTAATATCTGTTCATCTTGTTCAGCGAATTTGCTCTGCTATGTGCTAGACCGGTACGGGTTTTACCGTGCTACCTCACTAGGCGACAATCCTTAGGAAGACATACTTAGTACTTAATCCCAACCTACTCGGATACATGATTCTAACTCCAAACTCACCAGTCCACTTACTTACCCCTAAATGCTGTGTGTTGTGCGAAGAAGCAATAAATGCAAAATTTAAAGTCTTTCGTTTGACCAAGATGGGGATCGATCCCACAACCTTGACTTAGTAAATGTGTCTTTCTGGTATTACAAGATAGTTGTTACAAAGCGAGTGAATTAATGTGAATGCAGTTACAAAAAAAAACAAAACAGAAAAACGATAAAGTAAAACAAAACTGAACTGAACATTTATGAAAAGATTCTGCACAAATGTAGATCAGCAAGACAAGATCTTCAAAAATGAAAAGCATCATGGATGCATAAACCGATTTCCGATGTTTATGGTTGTGTAGTAGAAGAAACAGATCATTTTGTTCACATCAGCATTTCAAAAGCTGCTATGACCTTGACCTTTAATCAATTGATCCCCAAATAAATGTGGATTGTTGATAATCATTAATATAAATATGAAATAGACAAACAAGCACGCGCAATCATAAAATGACGATTGTTCTAAGTCTGTTTGATTTCACGTCAAAGATTTATAAATATGTATCCATCGTTTTATATGAATATGAATGGTTTTTATGCTGGCCGAATCAGTCAGCGAAATGGTTCTTCCTGGTGGTTCCATTGTTTGACTTTTCAACGTTGCCATTCTTTTTTCTTTAAAATAACAGAACATGCTTAGCACATGCAACCCATCTCAAGGTATTGGTCAATTAAATGTCGCATAAATACTTTTTTAAATGAGAAAGAATTTTCGATTTGCAAGCCAATAATGCACCAGCATTGTTTGTGCTCGTTATGTTGACAAAATTGAACCAAACTGACTGCTTATAGCGAAATATTATCTTAATATTCCGCTATATAAATGTTTGAAACAAAACGTATTTTAATTTTGTCTAAATCGAAGCTAATGCCTCGTTAAAGGTTGCAGGCATACGTACCCAAATGAGGTCAATTGGATTACTTGTCGAAATGTGCATCTGAAGCAGTAAAATGTGTACTGTTAATGTTATCGATGTTTTTTCTGCAAAAATTTAACTAAACTGGTTGCTAATAGCTAATTATCATTCCACATTTTATAATATTTGAAACACAAAATAAATCATACTTTGTATTTTTTTTTTGTCTAAATTACACCTACTATCTTGAAACTGTTATAGAAAGAAACTTAAATGATGATTGTAATAAATTAAGGATAAATTATTGAAAACAGTAATATGGTAGAGGTAAATGTAATCATCACAATTGATAAGCAATCAAATTCAAACCAACAAATCATTTATTTTGTCGTTAATATTTCGACGACAGCTGAAGAAGGGGGAAGTCATTAGAATATAGGGTGTATTTTATTGCTGATTTTTACAGAGGATGACCTTGAGGTCACTCCGATGTATTGCTATCGCCTAAATTTCCATTATGCAAATTAGTTTTGGGATTTCAACCGATCTATAAAAATTATAGATCCGCGGTCATTACAAGGGAAAAAAGTGCATTTTTATACCTGCGATTCCGTTCTCCGTTCGTACGATGTTTCATCAAAAAATGGAATCATTTCAGTTGTTGATTTAGTACTGAAAATTTGACTGAATTATCTCCTTATTAAATACGGTTTTATATGTTTAATGGGTGTTTAAGAAAGAGGTCAGGTGCTCATGTTCATTCATAAAATTATCGTTCATTCATGAATTTATCGTAAAATCAAAATCACTACACAGGTCACACAGGTTGTATACGTATTGTGTCAAAAGATTACCTGTATAGTATCTAAAAATAGACAAACTTAACTGACTCCCCTTACTGTAGTGTGTGATAACATTTTGTGAGGGAATTCGATGTTTGCTATACCACTGTTCATTTCAAAGCACTTTATGACGATACCACTTTATCAATATGAATGAAATTTTTTGCAGTGTTTTAAGAAATAATTTTACTTTAAAATCGCGTATCATTTGTGAACTATTAAATGTTTTACAAGGACGAATTTTCTGTATAAAGTCAATAATTGTGTGAACTTTTGAAGCCCAAACTTTTTATAGCCTTAAATACGCTAATGAAAGATCCGAAAACTATACCCATACAGAACGACATGTTTTTGAAATTGTAGCAAAACTTTTGGTTGACAAATTTTTATTCGTTATTGCATAAATATTAACTTGAAATATCTGTCATTTTCTCCCTACCCAGTTTACCTCTATTACTCATTATGATGTGGACTTGACATTGTTATTGAATCTTATGCAATTTGATTGGATTAAGTTACTATTAGATTACCTTCAAACTGTTCATGCTTTTTCGTACGAGTATATTGATTAAATCAGAGCGTGCATGAATGTGTACAGAAAATTAAATGACCTGCAAACTGGACACTGGACCAGTCCATATTACGTTTTATCAATGAATAGATTTTTTTTTTATTTCCCAAATTACAGGGCCCATAAAGGGCATAAAATCAGATACAATTGATTTACATAATTGGTAACAACAACAATAATAGCGGCATATAAATAGATATTTAGTATATAAGCTTTGGTCAGAATCAGATGAACGAAACTTAAGGTATGAAAGGTAACAATTGCCACTTTTTATCTTTTCACATAATTTTCCACATACACATTAGATAAATTATTTTTGATAGCCTATTGCAGAGAAAAAAGAGAAAGTTTACTGTATTAACGTTCTATTCCATTAAATACGCCATTTTTCGAAGATAAATGCAGAAAAACATTTATGAACGGCTACGCCAGGTAAAATTGTTGTTTATCCTAAAAAAAAATACAATTTTCAGTTTCATTAGAATATTATAATAAAATAAATCCCAAATTTATGTAGTCATTAGATAAAGTCCTTATATGTCCGATCTGCCTATTTTTGGACATCAAAAGACAATACGATCGTTTTAAGGTCAATTTCGTCTACCTCACGCAATCTTGTTAGGCACTATAATGAAATGGACCTGAAATTTATTTCACATGTTTCCTGAAAATTGATAAATATCAAAGCAACATAGAGCTGTTTGTTCTAGTTCGTATAATGACAATTTAATGTCATGTTTGTTTGTGATGACCCCCCTTTTCGGGATTGCATCAGAATTATAGTTATCTCGTATCGCATGAGGATGACAAATGTCAACTGAGCAATTATGTTTGGGACTTAGTTTTAAGGAATGATGTCAAAGTAACACTATGAAAATATTTTTAGTAAGCTGAAATATACATTTATTTTTTACATGTTTATGTCTTGTAAGATATTTTATTTCTGTCCCGTTTTTCAACATTTGCGTCTGGAAAGTTGAAATGTTTTAACTGAATGGTTAATTTAAATTAATTATGAAAATGGTTAAAATTAAATCAATAAAGGAAATTATTGCCCAGTTACAAACACTACCAGGGGATAATCCATAATGATTTTTTTTTTCAGTTATATGTTTCAGCACATGTATAATTAACCCCAACTTTAGCCTGGTAAACTTGTTGTCTCCTTGTAAAATATAAAACATATTTAAAATGATTTCCTGCTAAAGTCTTATATTGATATAAAGTTAAAACCGTCTTGCTTCTCACTAGTCAACACTCCTGTCCTGTCAGGTTTAATTCTTATATATATGGATGAAAAATAAAAGTCCACAAAACATTAACATGGCAGCAATTGCTTTAACAGCCATTAAGACTTTGATTTTTTTTTTACAGAAGAGTGTCCACCATGCACTTGCATTACACTATAATAATAGTAGAATAGTATGATATACATATAGATGAAAATTATATATACATGCAACCGTAATATTAATATAATATATAACAACAAACCAGTGTATTCTCTGGAACTATTAGTATAATAGTCTAAGGTATACTGATTTGTATCACTACAATATAATAGTTATTACGGTGAGGTTGAATTTCCTGTCATTTATTCATCATCCAAGCACGAACTTGTATAAGAAAAAAAAATCTCTGTAAATTAACCTCAGTTTCAGGTATAGAGATGTGATCTGTTTCTGTGACATGTGCTTTTGACCATCCACAAGAACCTGCGGTCATCCGATGTTCAGTACTTCAGTACTTTGATTTATGTAAATGTTGATATGGCATATTTTTATCTTATGAGTGATTCAGGCACCTCTGGGCCTCTAATTATTTACCCTTATTCATTTTTCAGCGCTGTACCTTGCTTTCATATTGTTACTCGCTACTATTGCTGTCATTTTAACTACATTCGTGATAAATCTGCATATGCGCACAGACGATGAAAAAATGTCAAACTGGTTGAAGAAATTCACTTCAAATTACTTGATAAAATTTGCGTGTTGGAAAAACAGCTGTTCCTTTAGGAAAAACAGAGTGGATCATAATGGGTTGGGGATAAACAAATTAATAGGCACACACCTAACAGAGAACAATAATCGTCCCGATAAAGAGACCGAAAACAAGGAAGGATGTAGAGATATAACATGGAAGGAATTATCAGAGATAATGGACAAAGTATTTTACAATATTTATATGTTCCTCATTGCGATATCTACATTCATATTATTTGTGATAATAATAGTTGGGTATAACAATCCAGACACTTCATAATATGAGTGCAAGAAGACAAAATTACATTTTCGAATAACATATATGTCTTATTTGTGGATTTGTAACAATATAAGTAAATGTTATCTATTTTTGATGAATCTTTAATGTTTCTAGAGAAATGTTACTCGTTTACGTCTTGACTGGAATTGGACAGTTGATGTAAAAAATGTCACTAATACTTCCTTATTTTTAGGTTTATTGGCTGCTATTGCAGGGTGTTTTAGTATTTTAGGACATAAATTATTCTTCATCATATTGTTTTCTTATTTCACTACATGCAAGTACAAATATATAACATTTTAACAATAGGAAGTTAATTAAATAAATCAATTTATAAATGAAATTCAGAACAGTTGTAAGAAAATCAATATATTACGGTAATTAACCTTTCTTATATATTTGAAGCAATTTTAGGTCGTAAATAAATTTTTACATCAGCTTTGATGTACACGTTATGATATTTAAGGTATTTAAATGTAGTTTAAGACTCTAAAACTAATGGAGTTGTACTTGTATGACATGTTTATCCCATCCTAGGTACGGATAAGAAGTCATTCATGACGCAAAAAATATCTTTACGCACAGTCATGACAAAGCCAAAAAGCAAAGGAACAGCGCTGATCGTTATCTTAAAATTAAAAGTGCGGTAGTGAGTATAAATCATCTACAATGTTTATTTTTAAAGTTCTTATTTCAGATCATCCTTCCAGATATTTTACTCATTTCCACTTTGACATTTCTTGAGCATTATTTAATATAACACTAGAACAATTTGATGTATAGACCAATGAAAACCCATTCTGTGTGATAGGCATAATTGTTTGTTTATCTTAAGTAATCTCGGATGACTTAAGTACATTTGTGGTATTATTTTAAGAGATAAATGATATAGATTCAAAATCAAATGTTGCATATGACATACACATATTGTTTTTGTGTTTTTAAAAATGGTTCCGGAAAGCTTAGCCAAACCAACCAAACCAATATTCTAGTAAAGTTCTGAATATACAACAAGTAGTGCACATAAGGAAGCAGCTCAATGGTTTATACTGAGATGATGCTTATAAGTATATGTACAAAAAAGCTTGGACAATCAAAATCATAAGTAAAAAACCAAGAAGGACTGACAATTCAAGTATCAAACGAAAAAAGACAAAATGCTACAAAAACAAACAAAAAAAAAAAGAGAGAAAAAGATCAAGCAAAAGCACTTACCTAACGGAACCTTGACGTGAACGAAAGTGCTCAAGAATGATAATCAGTTTCTGCTCTACTTGTGGCAACTTCCCTGTTGATCATAACAAGTTAAATAGAAATGTATTGGGTATCTTTTCAAAATGGGTAAAATGGTTTCGCATTAATAGAATTTATCAACATTCTGTCAACAGACATTGTTTGTTCTGTTAAATAATACCCTTATAAATTACATTTAAACCTAGATTTTGTTACCTCGTTATATTCTCTCATACTTAAGATTTGCTTCAATTTTCTTATTTATTTTCCTTTTGAAAATTTCTGCTAGCTAACTGTTTTCAATAATTCCTGTATAACTATCATAGGCGTCGGAAGAAAAGGCATTTTTTTTTAACTCCCTGCCTTTTCACATATGACAATTACAAATTTGAAAGAATGATTTATGTTGGAAGAAGCAAAAGCATACATAAACACTCTTAGAGTGGAAAAAACAAATTCCTTAAAAAAACACATTAAAATTTTGTACGCCAATCGCGCGTTTCATCATCAAAGGACCCACCAGGAACGCTCGAATAAAAAAAAGATAAAAAGTATTGTAGCGCTCATTTTCCAATCCCAGAGTGGAGGATGAACTAACAAAAAATCTGGTCAAATATTAGACACGTTTGCATACACCACCCTAAAATTAAACAATGACTTGGCGTGCTGTTGATAGAACAAAAGCAACTTATTAGTGCTCTGATACGATAATTTAAATTAATTCCGGACGCTGATTTGTTAGTGTCTAAGTAACAGAAATACCAACTTAATGAATCAGTGAGGGCTGCAGAAACCGGCCATGGGAACAACCCAATCTGATTGGTAAAACACAAGGATCTCCCAAATAATCACAAGAGATTAATTATTTACACAGAAAATGCTAATGCAACAAGACCAAGTCCCCCTGTATTGATGCTTCATTTAAATAAAATGAGCACAATACAGTGTAAAACTATGGTAATGCATCTTACGTTTAAGCTGTCTCAGTTATAGTTGAACATAGGCGAATAGAGGGTTTTAAAACAACAAAAAACTAATATTCCTGTTGTCTCATTTATATTTGACCCTGTGCGCCCTTTTCTCGAGTTTAGTCTTTTCGCGTATTTTTTTTTTCTTTATATTTTCTTTTAACTTTTTACATGCTTACACATCTACCAATATCCTGAAATTTCGGGTAAACAAATATCAGCGAACAAAAACAGTACGAAAACTCGCTTTGTGAAACTTGCAAATAATCTCCAATTAAAGGTGAAACCGCAGGTAAATTAAGTCTTGCTTTCCGATATTTTGCTAGTTAACAAATCATTTTTTTAACTAGATGCTTATCTACCAGTTATCGTGCACTGATTCTTTATAAAGCAGGTGTACAGTTTTTACGTCTTTATACATCTCTGGCTTTTTAATATTTAGGTTTGAGTGTTCTTGGTGATGCTAAATCCAGGAAAGCGCTTCGGAAGCACGAAATTTATAAAGTTATTTTCATCAGTTCAGAAAAGACAATTTACCTAGTATTCTCTATTGTAACTAACTGAAGCCATTGAGAAGGCTTCGCATTGTCCTTTTCATGGCTGATTTCATTTGTTTCTTTTCGTTTTCGAAAATCCTTATCACCATTGCAAATTCAGAAAAAAACTGAACTAACAACTTTGGACTGTGGTAACCACTGGATTACAAACTCTTGGTAAGGACGGGCATATAGATAATGTCAGTACATGATGGCATACTTAGTAGCCAGTAATCCGTTATTTTCATGATTTAAAAAATGTTTATTTGGGTTCTAAATTTTCTGTTTGCAATGATTATCGTTGTACTAAAAGAGGAGGTTAGAATTGAGTTTTCACGATTTGGGGTTTTTCATTTAGGTCTATTTTTCAGGACAAAGGATACACAATTCTTTTACTGACAAAAACAACAAAAGCAATGAAATTCAAATGTCGCAAAAAGTTACACTGAAAACAAACACAAATACAATACGAAATGAAAGCATTTCCTGCTCAACTGATTGCACACGTCAAAATATATGTTACCTGAACTCGGTTTTACAAACTTTTGGTCTCCAGTCTACTGAAGAAAGTTATCAAAATCAAGTGTCGTACGTACTGACATATGCATCATGCGTATATTTAGATAATGTTCTTTTATTTAACAATTCAAAGGTTTCGGTGTTTAGGTTGAAGGCTTAGTTACTGGATACAGTCAAGTTTGATTTGTACATAGACCTGTATCAAGGGATCAAAACTTTACAAGTTGGGAGGTTTTTCATTTTTTCTATTAATAACTTGCAAATTATATCCCTTTACAAAACCGTTATTACTCAGGTGATTTACTATTAGTTGATTGGTCAAACATCCGGGGACAAATATTTCATTCATATTTAGGACAAAACAATTCTACAAATAAAAGTTACATTACTACATTACGTTAGTATTGAAAATGTTGTTTAGAAATATTCTGTGGAAGGTGTTGCTTTACTTTTGGCACTAAGTTACATATTTCTGTTTGATTACTGAAGGGTGACATCTACCTTAATAAAAAAATCTATTAAACTGGCGAGTCGGATAAATTGATTCTTTACAATTATATACTAGTACTTTTTTTATATTCTTAAAGCATACATTGCACAAGGTCATGTTTTTCTCTGACTGTTTTATGACGTCTTTACACTAAATCCATTGGATGTTGGATGTGTACTGATTGATATTTTAGTCTTAGATACATGTTTTTTTTTAATTGTTTATTAGTTGGTATTGGCTTCGAAATAGCTGTCAGTAACTAAGAGTACTCTCAGATCTGTACTTGTCTTTTTTGTTGTTAGGGATGAGGGATGGATTAATACCCTGTCACGTCCGGTCTGTGTTTTTGTTTGATGCTTTTCTGCTTTGTATCGATCTGATGAGTTAAGCCTTTTTCAACTGATTTTGAAAGTTTGTTCTTATGCTGTGCTGTTACACATTTGTCCCAGGTTACGGGAGGGTTGAGCGCTCACAAACATGTTTAACGCCGCCACATTCTTTATGTGTCTGTCCCAATTCAGGAGCCTGTAGTTCAGTGGTTGTCGTTGGTTCATGTCTGTCATATTTGTTTTTCGTGAAAATTGTTTTGTTATAAATTAGGCCGTTAGTTTTCTTAATTGAATTGTTTCATATTTTGTATGTCGACCCTTTTATAGCCGAACATACGGTATGGGTTTTTCTTATTGCTGAAGGTAGTATGGTTGCCTATAATTGCTTACATCCACTCTTTTTGAAATTTGGTGGATAGTTGTCTCATTGGCAATCATACCACATCTCCTTATTTTTATATAGCTACAAATGTCATGTACGCCAAGGGGTACAATGTGTTACATATCCTAGAAATAGACGTATAACTTGACAATGAAATTAATTTTTACGGTGCAGTAGTATCCAAGTCTACTTGTAACATCCCACAATCATTCTATTTTACGGTGCAATAGTATCCAAGTCTACTTGTAACATCCCACAATCATTCTTTTTTACGATGCAATAGTATCCAAGTCTACTTGTAACATCCCACAATCATTCTTTTTTACGGTGCAATAGTACCCAAGTCTACTTGTAACATCCCACAATCATTCTATTTTACAGTTCAATGGTATCCAAGTCTATTTGTATCATCCCACAATCATTCTATTTTACGGTGCAATAGTATCCAAGTCTACTTGTAACATCCCACAACCATTCTATTTTACGGTGCAATAGTATCCAAGTCTACTTGTAACATCCCACAAGCAATCTATTTTACGGTGCAATAGTATCCAAGTCTACTTGTAACATCCCACAACCATTCTTTTTTACGGTGCATTAGTATCCAAGTCAACTTGTAACATCCAACAACCATTCTATTTTACGGTGCAATAGTATCCAAGTCTACTTGTAACATCCCACAATCATTCTTTTTTACGATGCAATAGTATCCAAGTCTACTTGTAACATCCCACAATCATTCTTTTTTACGGTGCAATAGTACCCAAGTCTACTTGTAACATCCCACAATCATTCT